GCAGGGAGTGGGGTGGGGCACTCAGCAGGGGGCGCTCTCCCCAGCAGGCAGTGCTGGCCCATTGCCCCAAGGCGGCGCTAGGGGCCTGTTGTGCAGAGCTCTGCCTTTCTGATAACTCGAGGCCCTGACTCTCCCAGGCGAGGGAAGCCCCTGCGCTCTGCGGTGTCTCAGGGGAAGCATTGCCCCAGCACTCTGGGAGAGAGATGTCTCCTCTTCCCTTTGCTGCCCCAGCCTGTGTCCAGAGTCTCTCCCTGCCCCAGCCCTGCAGCAGGGCCCAGTCGGGGCCCCTCTCCATGGGAGGAAGGGTTAAGGGCCCAGGTGTGTTCAGGGCCTGCTGGACCCTTCCCCTCCCTGCACCCCACAGGCCAGCTGGAGGTGATCCTCGACCGGCGCCTCATGCAGGATGACAACCGCGGCCTCGGCCAGGGGCTGAAGGACAACAAGCGAACCTGCAACCGCTTCCGCCTCCTGCTGGAGCGCCGCACCACGGCCAACAAGGTGAGGGGGGCCCTGCCAGCGGGAGCCCACGCCATTCTGCTCCCCGCTGCCTGGGCTGCCCAGGCGCTCCAGCCCCCTTGTGGCACGGGGCGCTGGGGGTGAGCCCAGGGGCAGACGTTGAGTGGTGAGCCCGGTGCTGTGCAGCTGTGAACCAGTTGCGCCGTCCCACCCCAGCGGTGGTCGCACTGCAGTGGAGGCGGCAGGTGCTGTGCTGATCGGGGGAGGGGGCTGAGTCTTGGCCAGGCGCCGAGCTTCCCCGAATGCTGCGCGGGGCTGGCTCTGCGCTGGCACTTTGCCACACAGCTCTTACAACCGTCGCTGTTCTCGTCCCATCTCCCCTGCTCCCACCCATGTCACCCCCCAGAGCTCCGGCTTCTTTTCCAAACTGGCTTCCGTGTTCCTAGCCTGGCCCTTTTCCGGCCCCTGGACGGGCAGCGGAGAGGTACCTGCCGGCTGCCGCGCTGTCTGGTGACTGTAGCTGGGGCCGCGGTCAGTGTGTAGCCCAGCTGGGAGCCTGAGCAGTAGATGGCGGTAGATTAGGCCTGTGTGCTGTGCATAGGATGGAGTACTGGCCCGAGGGGCGGGCTGGCTGCGGTGGAGTGGGGGTCCTGAACGGCTCAGTCCTGGCCTCCCCCCCAAAGCAGGGAGGGGAAGGGTCCCACCTCATCAGATCAGATGTGACCTGCTGTCTGGGTCTCCTGCATCGGGGTGTTGGGGGGAGCCCCATGTGGATCCCTGCTGGGGAATTCCCTCGCCCTCTTGGTGGGTCTGACCAGCCCAACAGGCGGGGGTACCTACCAGCAGCAGGGCGGGGCTGCCCCAGACCCCTCAACTCGGTTGGTTGCTCTTGTTGCAGGTGCAGGACAGTCGTCCAATCAGCTTCCCCTCTCTGCTGAGTCACATGACCTCCATGCACCTGAACGCCGAGGTGCTGGCGATGCCCGTTGCTCAGGAGAAGCCAGCGCCCCCGGCCCTAAGGTCCTTCCGGCCCCTCTCAGCCACCGTCCCCTGTGACTTCCACATCCTCAACCTTCGGACGCTGCAGGCGGAGGTAAGAGCCCCGGCCCCATGGGAGCGAGCCCAGCACCCCGACAGCTCCCACCGCCGCCATGCGTGGGCGGGTCAGGCTGTCCGTTTCCATCATCGCGGCAGGCTCAGGCCTGGGATCAGGCTTTCTGCCCAGCTGTACCCGTTGTCATGGAGTCCCTAGGCGATGCTCTGGAACTGCTCCCCACAAAGCCAGTCAGGACTTTGGGGAGCCTTCTCTCCCTCGGAGCAGACTGTTTTCAGGGCAAGAAGCTCACACGGCTTCACCTCCTGGGTCTCTCCTGGGAGCATTCAGCATATGCCCCTCCGTGCGCTTCCCATAGCGAGTCCGCCCAGGCGGGGTCCTGGGGAAGCCAGAGGTCTGCACCCCCACTTCGCAGTCAGACGTGACTCTCGGCCAGCCAGTAAAACAGAGGTTTATTAGATGACAGGAACACGGTCTAAAACAGAGCTTGTAGGTAGGGTGACCAGACAGCAAATGTGAAAAATCGGGATGGGGGTGGGGTGTAATAGGAGCCTATATAAGAAAAAGACCCAAAAATCGGGACTGTCCCTATAAATCGGGACATCAGGTCACCCTACTTGTAGGTCCAGCGAACGGGACCCCTCGGCCAGGTCCATTCTGACCCAGCGAACTAGACACCCCCATCTGCCCTCACTCCTAGTCCCCAGCCAGCTCCAAAGTGAAACCCCCTCCAGCCCCTCCTTCTCTGGGCTTTGTCTCTTTCCCGGGCCAGGAGGTCACCTGATCTCTTTGTTCACCTTTAGCTATTTCCTTGCAGGGGGGAAGGGCCCTGGCCATTTGTTGCCAGGGAGACAAAGTGTCAGTGATTTATGCACACTGACCTTTATCCCACCCCCTAGAGACTTAAGAAATGCATAGGGGAAACTGAGGCACCCACACAGTATTCAGAGGAAACATTAAGAACAGTCCCACTTCCTCACACCCATCCCTTTGGCTGACGAGTAATTAACACCTCATTTCATGGGAGGTAAATGAATCATGAGGCTGAAAACCAGATGTTTGTGCTAAAGAAGGGAAGGCTAAAAAGACAGAATGTCTGAGCCAGCTGAGGTAAGAGGGAGAACACCCAGGGGACCAGTTCCAAACAAGTAACAATGGACGCTAAGCGAGGGAAGTAGGGGTGAGGTAAAGAGTCCGTGGGCGAGCCTGCTGCACCGGGCTTGGTTCCTGTGGCATACTCAGGCCAAGCCATTGCAGTGGGACGCAAAGGGACAGGTGCTGGGGCACTTTGAGCTCTCGTACCCAGCATCCATCCCCCACGTTTGAGTCTCATCATCTCAGCCGAGTTCTGCAGGGTGCCAGATAAAGGCTCCGAGTGACGCAGGCTGGAGCCGAGGGAGTTCTTAGGGGCCGAGGGGAGAGGTCTCGGAGGCAATCCCAGTGTTAGCGGTGCTGTGACCTGAATCCGGGTGTCGGGAGCGGGTCCTGTCTCGTTGCTCAGCCACGTAGCTGGGCCCAGCAGCTCAGCAATGGCAGAAGGGTGCAGATCCGAATGGGTCTCCAGGACACTGAGCTGCGGGTTAGATCGAAGCACAGACATCCTGGTTTCAGCCCCATGACCCATGTACCTTCCTGCGGCTGCCACACGCGTCTCTGCTTCCCCGTCCCAGGACGACTCGCTGCCCTCGGCGGAGATGGCGCTGATCTTGCACCGCAAAGGCTTCGACTGTGGCCTGGAGGCCAAACACCTGGGCTTCAACTGCACCACCAGCCAGGGAAAGGTGGGTCTGGGACACGGCCGGTGACACCCCCCTCCCCCGCCGGG